TAGTAATGGATTTAGATCTATGTTTCGTGCTCTTGATTTAAGTACACAAAATAGAACTAGATAAGTCAAACGATCTTGTAGCATTGTCACTCTCAAATCAGATAAAACTCTTTTTAAAACACTAGAAGATCGCTCTGACGCTGCAGACGTGGCTGGCACTGTCAAAATAAGAATAATTAATAATTTGATTTGATCTAACATTTGATGTACAGTATACGATTCAATTTTTAAAATTTCAATTATGCAAGGAAAAGATGGTCCATTTTCTTTTAATTCAAAGACAGACTTTTTGTTAATTTTTTATTTTTGAGAATAAGCATCGCTACAAATGAATGTGGTTTGTTCGTCCGGAGTGATTTCATTTTTAAGAATGGTCGGCAAAAATAATAGCTGTGTCTTCAACTTCTCTACATTAAAGTCATCAGCATGTACACTTAACTCATTTTTCAACTCATCTGTCGTAAACTGTTTACCTTCAGCCGACTTTAGGATGATATTTTCTAATTTTACTAAATAAACAAAACTATCTTGACAAAATCTTCTTTCCAGTTCAGAAATAAGAATATCAATGACTTCATAAAAATTCTTGTGCATTTTTAATTTTGCAGTGAATTCTGCTGACTTTGATGGCGTATCTGAATATTCGTACCTGCTTGGAACTTTTCTTTTTCTCTCAATTTTCGGGCTGTCCAAATCTATTTTAGAATAAATATTATGTGCGTTTGAGTATAAATATTACAATGCTTACGCGTATATTATATATATAGGGTAATAATAATAAATAAGATGATAATTATTGACAAGTTTTTATATGAAATATAAGAAATTAAAAAATTTAAAAATATATTTCATACCATCTCAATAATTATTACGTAATTCTTGAGTTAAGCAGATTGAATATTTCCTTTATTTATCAAAATGCTAATTAGTGACAAGCATATGACTAGTAAAGAGTTCTCTTAAAAAATAAACTGTCTAGAGTACGTAATTATTATAACTACATTACTTCACAAAAGTTTATTATTTTTTTTTATAAACTATAGGAAATACATTTTTATTCTAAAAAACAAAAGATGTTCAATTGTCTGCGCAGAAAGCCTATAGTAGGCACAACCCCTAATATAATTTTGAAAAATCGATAGTTAATTTATCTAATTTCAATGCATCCACTTCGATAGAACTCCACTCTTTATCAAAAACTTCATGAGATCTCAACTTTTTCAACGTTTTTATAAGGTAATCAACTGCTTCTTTTGCTCCTGGTATGGTAAATTTTTCACTTTGGAGAGCGTTTGCAACATTCTCACATGATGCAAATAATAATTTTGAAATTTTTAATGAACATTAATTTTCAAACGACTTTAGTCGTGTCGCATATCCTTTTAGAATCGTTCTTCTATCATCGCGAATTCCTCCAGGTGTATCTGATATTTCTTTTACAGCCATTTGTACTCTTTTTAAATTTGACTCAAATCGATCAATCGCCTTTACTCGAACAGCCCAACGAGTTGCGCATAACGGTAGTAGAGAACGAACGCAAATATTTGATAAATTAATATCTTCTGAGGTTGAAGTTGGTAAAACAATGTTGCTGTAAACGGATTTTCTTTTAGATGATTCGAGTATAATATTAGAATCATCTTTTACTGTTGTTAAAGCATCATTAGTAACGTCACATTTGCGTGCGATTTATTGTAAACACAAGTCCAGCGAGTGATTAGAGAAATGCACAAACGTAGATTTTGGATTTTCATCGCGTATTCGTTGTTGGATACCACTTAATCTGCCAGCACCATCAAAACAGTGGCCAATCATTTTTTTGGGATCAAGGTTTAAGCGCACAAGTACATCTAAAATAATTTTATGTAGTGTCTCTGCTTTTGAGTCTGGAGCATTATATATTCCAACAAACTCTTCATTGACTGCAAAATCTTCGACATTGACATAACGTAGGCAGATAGAAAATTGCTCATTGCCTGCGTTGTCCGTCGTTCTGTCAGCTATCACAGAAAAAAAAGGACTTGATTGTACTCCAGCCAAAATATCCCTTAAGATCTTTATTCCCATCATACTCAAAATTTCATTTTGTATCTTGTGACTTGTCCAATTGTCTCTTTTTAAGAGCCACTTTTTTAAAAATGGATGAAATTCAGCTCGTTCTTGGATAAGTTCAACGAAATTTCCTGTGTTTGAAAAGTGACCCTGAAGAGCTTGTCCGGTTGTTGCTAAGTAACGAACAGAGCTGAAAATGATTTTCAATGCATTCAGAGCGTCTTTTTTTTCTTGACTGCTTTTTTTGTTAAGCAAATTCACAATTGGGGCGCCATTTTTTACCGAATAACTTTGTAAGACTGCGGATGTATGATTGCTGCTTTTTTCATGTTTTTTACATTTTTCCAGAGCATTTTTCCAATTTTTCACTCCAGTAGTAGTAAAAGCATCTTCATATTTAAAGTACGGGTTGTAAAAATGAAATTTTCTACACTCATAACAAAAAATGGAATCGGTCACTATGTCGTAATGTAACCATTCATATGTCTCAAACCAAACTATTTAACACGAACGGTTGCTGGCAATTTTCGGAAATGAAAAATTTTTTGGTGGTATGAATTGTATAAATTCTTCAGAGGGTTATTTATTCTCTGTCCCTTTACTACTTGAATCAATTGGTGCACTGTTTTTATCAGTGTGTTCGAAATTCATTTCTGAGCTCGTAATAGTCGAAGAATGTACATTATTTTGATCTTTTTCGAAAGATAACTCTGTCTGAGAAACACTTGTCACATGGCTAGCATTTTTGGCATCTTTATCAGGGGATTCTAACTTCTTTGTTTCAGGTTTCAGCCATTTTAATAGAGAATACTTTTTTTTTGACATTTTATATACAAGCTGTGGAGTAGTAAATAATATATAGCATTTTTTAAACGGAATAAACTTCATTCATAAAAGGCATAGATAGTACAGAGAAATGTCCACGATACTTCTTGTCTAATCTCAATATATTCGGGTCTCATCTCAACGTCACGGAAAAAAGTTTAAGACCTTCAAGGCTTTTGGAAATTTAAAAAAAANTATGGGCACTGGGCTGTGTGATTGTTGAGATCTTCTCAGAAAAATCAATCTGGACTGTATCAAACAATGATATGATGTGTGGTCTGTTTAATACATTAAGAGCTATAATGATTCAAAACAAAAAACCCGATATGAGTAATGTACCCAAGGATTTTAAAAAAAATATTATTAAAATGTTTTGATTATCGGCCAGACAGTCGACCAAAAGCAAGTACAGTACTAGATGTATTGAAATGTTCCGATTCCGATTTTTCAGATGAAAACTAATTAGCATAAAAAATGAGTCTTTTTAATGTTACACTGTGATACTATGATAATACTTAGTTAAGTTTACCGTTAAATTAAAATTCTAGTAGACAACCAGTCAGTTAGACTATATGTTAATGAAAGTAAAGTATGCTGGTTGTAAGAATGTTGGTTAATACATGCACGTTATAAAGAGATTAGTAAAAATTTTAATTTTATAAATTTAACTGTGAATACGGTTTTTTGAACGTGTGTGTCTGGTGCTTTTCTGTCAATGAAACTACTGAATGAATAAATAAATTTTAAACAAAATAACACTTTTCTATAGAGTCAAGTTTACAAACGTCTCAGAATTTTTTTCCAAATTTACGAGAGTCTTTGGGTCTTCAAATCTATCACAAACCTCGAATATTCTCACGAAAAACTTGAGAACAAAACAACACCTTTTATATGTTTATGCCATGCCTTAAAACCGTGTACCAGTTGTACCACACAACCATTAAAACTTGCTGCCGCTGGATGGGTCTGTCAGCGGTACTTACTGAGCGTATTACAAGATAAATAAAGGCAAAGTTCGGTGTATTTCAGATATACAAAGAATACGAAGATTTCACAAAATAAAAGTTATGTCTTAGCATAATTTTTTAAAGAAATTCCATGAAAATATCTTTAAAAAAAAACTTTATAGTGGCCCTCTAACTCTCTCTAACATTCGAGTTTTACGGCGCAGTGCGTTTGTACGAAACACACTGAATTTTTATCTGAATATGAACGCAGAAACCCGCAAATAATAAACACTTCAAAACAAAGTACACGAAAGTAGAGATAATATGCTCTGTTTTACACTCAAAAAAAAAATTTGATAACCTTGTCCTCACTTGTCTAGAATCTAGTCCTTATAAGACCTCTGCAAAGTTAGTTAATAAAATAAAATTAAAAAAAAAATAAAAATCTCGCTGAGAACGCTGAGGTACATACACGTTTATTTTTTCCATTACGACTCTAACCTTTCATTGGGACACATTTGTTATTGAAACACAGGTAACATGAATTATTCTTACCGAAATTCGTTTCCAGCCTAAGAAAATTGAGGCAAAATTGTACGTGTTCACTAGAGTGTAATAAAGTTAAAAGTTTCTGCAAAAAAGTAAAATGTCTGCTTGTGTAGCGATGAATATGAATGTCGCTAACACGCGTTTTGTATAAAACTATTGACGACTATTGATCTGCACTTTACACTAAAACATCTGTGTCTCCTGTAAAATAGGAGTTTATTAACTTAACAACGTGGTAGTTAATTCAATTATACATCAACCATGCAGTGGCACACTCTGACACTCATATCCACGAATAAAACGATCGTACTCCTATATATTATATAAGCAGTCTAACAACCCGACTTAACTTGTCAAATGCTCACCTGCCCGGTATCGTATGACCCCGAAAGTATCTCGTAAGTACGGAAGCCCGTATGGCTCATGCGCGCTCCATGTTGCGCGAGCACATACGGAAGCAAAAAATATGCTTGCTCCACCTAAGGAAGCGCACTTGCGCACTGTGCTGCTTGCTCCTGTTTTAGGAGTCTGTCTACAATGTATCGATGGTTTGTTGCGCTGCGTTACGCTCCTACACGACGTATTGTTTTATGAGCTTAAGGCACATTAATTAAATCATAGGCAAACATGTCTCGCTACGTGAAAGTTGTAGAAAACAACGTATCTGTGAAATTGGAGGTTACAAATGGAAAGTTGGAATTGTCAACGTTACATTTATATTTTCCAGAAGCAACGTCATTAACATATATACAAAACGGCGATGTGATAGGGTTATCCATTAAAGATAACAAAGTTGTCCTTGACAATAACATTGACGAATATCAAGTATTTAATCCTTCGAGTAACACTAATAGTAAGTTGATACTCGTATAGCTACATCGAAATATTTCTCAGTCAAATCTTAATTGCTAATTATTTGTAGGAAGTCCTTTCCAAAGTGGAAACAAAAAAAAGGTCGATCATATCCTGTCAATGATTAACAGCTCGAGTTCCACAAGTCCACGTGATGCAACCCTTCCCAAGAGCAAAGTGGCAAAAATGTCAATTTTTAAAAATTTGACAGTAGGGTGGAAACACCAGTTTAAAAATGAGACGAAGTTTACGCTCATGAAGTATCCTTTAGGAGGATTGCAGAAAGTTGAGTTGGATGCAGGAAAAAAGTATTCGTACGATGAAATTCTACAACTCTGCATTGAAGCAATGATTCAAGAGAATAACAAAGACTTATTCGAAACCAGTGATGTTTATTTAGGATTGTTTGATAATACGATGTTCAAAGACTTTTCTGATAGTAGAGGTAATATCGGTGATTTTTGGGAGTTTGCTAGCCGAGCCCTTAAAGCTTCAAACAGACAGTTAAAACTGTACTTGCTTTCCCAAACAAAAAAAACAGCTGAGAATGATGGCAAAAGTAAAAATGATAGTACCTACCAAGGTACAGACACAACTCCTTCTGGAGAAGCGGATGTACTGCCTAGTGAGAAAGTTTCTGCGACCAAAGAGTCCTTGTCGCGAAAACCTATGGATACTTGGACCAGTTTTTTATCAGATTTGCAAATACCTGTACCTATCATTCAGCGGGATGACTTTACAATGCTCAGCAAAGAGTTAGAGCGAGGAGCTTTTGGCTATGTAAACCAAGGAATGTGGTTAAATACCCCCGTCGCAATAAAAACAATCAAAATAACGGATGATTACAAATACTTAAAGAGAGAAATTTTAACACTTTCTCGTTTAAGACATCCAAACCTGATTTCATTGATGGCTGTATCTGCAGATCCGATGAACTGTTTTATCATAACAGAATTATTTATAAGTCAAAGTTTAAGACAAGTACTGTTTAATCCCGTCACAAAAAGATCATTTAATTTGACGAGAGAGAAAAAACTTATTATAGCACAAAAAATCAGTATGGCTGTTAGTTTTATTCATGATTTGACACCTAGTATCATTCATAAAGATATCAAGCCTGAGAATATACTTGTCAATGAAGCTTGTGAGGTAAAATTAATTGATTTTGGGCTAAGTCGATTCGAAGGACTACATTCGGAGCTAAATTCAACTGTAGGCTCGCACCCGAAAGGTACGACTTTGTACTTATCACCTGAGATCATTGTTGACAAGCAGTCTCATTCAGTAAAATCTGATGTATGGGCACTGGGCTGTGTGATTGTTGAGATCTTCTCAGAAAAATCAATCTGGACTGTATCAAACAATGATATGATGTGTGGTCTGTTTAATACATTAAGAGCTATAATGATTCAAAACAAAAAACCCGATATGAGTTATGTACCCAAGGATTTAAAAAAAATATTATTAAAATGTTTTGATTATCGGCCAGACAGTCGACCAAAAGCAAGTACAGTACTAGATGTATTGAAATGTTCCGATTCCGATTTTTCAGATGAAAACTAATTAGCATAAAAAATGAGTCTTTTTAATGTTACACTGTGATACTATGATAATACTTAGTTAAGTTTACCGTTAAATTAAAATTCTAGTAGACAACCAGTCAGTTAGACTATATGTTAATGAAAGTAAAGTATGCTGGTTGTAAGAATGTTGGTTAATACATGCACGTTATAAAGAGACAATGTAATGTTTTTAGACAAGTATTGTCGGTTAAATAATTGTTTGTACCTGCGTAACATTTAAATTTATGTAAGGATCGAAAGGATTGTTGGTTATAGTGTTAAAAAAAAAATTCATTAATAATATATATATTATTTCAGTAAAGTAGTTATATTTCAACAGATCTCATCTGTAATACATGTGTTCGCATGATAAACAAAATGACAAATAAAATAAAATTTATTTTTACAACACAATTCACACTGTATTATTTGAAAATATCCAATACACAAAAACAAACTGCAACCTGTCATCCCTCTGTTTAGAGACTTGGCCATCCTTGGCCCCAAGCTTATTTTTTGAAATTTACACTGCTATAGTTATGGAAAAAAAAAAACCATTAAAATGATTGACACTTTAATTACTAACTTGCTACTACTTCACTGATATATAACACATGTATAGCTATTGTTTGAACCACTACAATAAAGGTTATCACAAATCTTCTGTATGATGGTTTCTTACAGCCTCCAGTACTTTCTTGTATAAGTCAAGGGCCTCTTCGGTATTTTTTGGAATACTTTGATTGGGTACTAAAATATTGATCAGTTCTTTGATAAGGGGACTAATTAGAGTTGGTTTGGATGTACATTTATCTATCAATTCTTGCACTACTTGCACATCTACACTTTTTTTGTAGTCTTTATTCTGATTCCTCTCTGGCAAGCGAAACATAACATAGGGTCTTCCTCCCACGTTATTACAAACTTTTTGTTTTCTCACAGTATGTTCATTCCACATTTCCTTGGTTAATTGCAAATCAGCTTGTATCAGATGTCCAAAACAATACTGTAAACATTGAATGTGAAGTTTTGAACCATCAAATAAATTTATTGCTTGCATGCCTTTGAAAAATTGTATGTAGTAATCTGCAAAATTTTGACGCATTTTCCCCCAATAAGATTCAATCCTCTGATTCCTAGTACTTGTACCTTTGATGTAACTGTTTTTCCCAGCTAGTTTATCACTATGTGCACTTCGTAAAGAAATTTGAAGAGATTCAATAAGAACATTTTCAGTTCCTTTATCAGACCGGATCATTGATGGTAAAAAACCAATTCTCTCCACTGTTGACAAATAATAATAAGCTGTTACTTGTGGGTCGTTGTTTGTGTTGGAAACTTCAAGCCACAGTAGCATTCTGGAGTATCCATCAATACATCCATGGATAGGAAAACCAAACTGCTTCAATTTATCGTACCCATCCAGGTGCCACAAGTAATTTGGCCCTGGATTTAGGTACTCTCTACGATGCAATTTATTACCAAACCTTTCTTTGATTCCTTCTGGATCTGCTATTTTCAGTATCTGATAAACTGTCTCCCATTTGACGTTCAGATTGTATTTTTTTTTTAATTTTTGCCACAGTGCCCTGTACCCTACATTGTAGCCTGAGGAATTTAATTCCTCAACTACAGCCACACAAATATCACACAAATTACTTTCTGTTATGTTTCTCCTCTTCAATTCCAACTTCTCCAAAGTTCTCTTCACTTTTATTAATGGCACAGTAACTTCAAAGTCTTTTTCAAGCAAAGCTTTTATTTCAGCTTGAGAACAGTTTTTTTTTAAATATTTCTTCACGTTTTCTTCGAAACTCATGATTAATTCTTTAATTATGAACAGTAATAAGTAAAACCCAATTAAGATGTTGTAAACAAAAGAATAGGTTAGCTTTTACTAAATTATAATGTGCCTTAAGCTCATAAAACAATACGTCGTGTAGGAGCGTAACGCAGTGCAACAAACCATCAATACATTGTAGACAGACTCCTAAAACAGGAGCAAGCAGCACAGCGCGCAAGTGCGCTTCCTTAGGTGGAGCAAGCATATTTTTTGCTTCCGTATGTGCTCGCGCAACATGGAGCGCGCATGAACCATACGGGCTTCCGTACGTAAGTGATTTGGACAGATGCACCTAGGCATGGGGGTAAGTCAACTTTTTTTAACGTGTGCTATATATATCGGTTGGAGATCGAGGCTAAGTCAAGAGATTCGAGAATCGAGCGAAGTCGAGGTCGAGCCAACTTGCGGGAAATTCAAAAAGGGCTAAACAGTACTATACGCCCAATTCCACAAAACTAAATAGCTTTAACCTTATAACCCAGAGCACTCACGAATTAATTAACTGTATTATTTATTAATAAATAAATAACTATATCCTAATCACTTAATACCCAGTGACCCAATAGACGCAAGGGCCTGCTCTTTTAATTATTGAATAAATAAATTATACCCGAAGCGCTCAATGCTTTGTAACCCAACTGATCGAGTACCTGCACTATAAAATAATTTATTATTAAATTGATAAATCCCAAGCACTCAATGCTTTGTAAATCGACGAATCAAGTGCCTGCAGTATTGAATAATTTTCTTTTACATAAATGCATCTCAAGCGCTTAATACTTTGTAACCCGATGGATCAAAGCTTTGAGAGCCAGGGATTTATTTAATTCATTATTGTTAAAAAGTTCAGGCACTTGATCCGTCTAGTTTTAAATCATTGAGTGCTTGGGATTCATCTATTTATTAATAAATTATTTTATAGTGCAGGTACTCGATCAGTTGGGTAAAAAAGCATTGAGTTCTTGGGATTTATCTATTTAAAAATGAATTATTTTGTAGTGCAGGTACTCGATTAGTTGGGTTACAAATCATTAAGCTCTTGGGATTTATTTATTTATTTATCAATTTTTTAACAGTGCAGGCACTCGACCAGTTGGGTTACACAGCATTGAGCACTTGGGATTTATTTTCCTAATAATAAATTATTTAAAAGGGCAGGCACTCGATCGGTTGGGTTACAAAGCGTTGAGCGCTTGGGACTTATTTGTACGATGCAAATTAAACGAACCCTTTGATTCGCTTTTTTTATTTCATTTTATGCATAATGTTATAAACTAAAGCAGAATTTGAGCATGACTATCTGTATTTTTTTGTCATAATGCTGGCGAGCAATCAGATATTTTTTTGACATATATGTCGGAAACTGGGGGGGGGCTGTGCCCAGTCTGAAAATTGGGGGGGCTTGAGCCCTCCCTGCCCCCCTGCCTGGGCGGCCCCTGCGTTGTAGGACCAGATTAGATGGAAAAAAGGCTTCCAAACCCTGTAGTGTTAGTGAAGCAGGTTGAGCTCTGGCCGGACGTCTCCTGGTATTTTGCCTGAAACGTTAATGTTCCAAACAACTATTTTTTCATGGCACTCGGTTATTTTGGCCATCCAGGGTAAGAATCAATTTATTTCGCTTGCCTATGAACAAAGCGTGTCAGTAGTCGCCAGGATGCCCAGCTTCACGACAAACACCTTTGTTCTTAGTGGACTGCCGAAAAACGTCTACGATAATCGTCGTCCCGGCAGGGCAAGTTATAATCATTTTTCACTATCATTGATTGTGGGTGGCTTTAATTTTACCTCGACGCCACCTAGTGGATCATACTGAACTAACGTAAAGGGCTAGCGTATTTTTGTACATTTTTGAGCTTATTTGTTGCTCAGTAGTATGCTAGAACCATCTTGAAGGTGTCAAGAATTAGTATGCAAAATTTCAGCAAAATTGGTTCAGTAGTTCTCGCGGTTATCGATTACAACGGTTTTAGCGACTTTGCTTTATGAATTAGTAAGATAAGATAAATGAGATGGATCACATTAACTAATAAACAAATTAAAAATGTATAAAACTCAAATGAGTAAATAGTTCTTAAGTGTCAAAAAGATCTGCTAATTTGTTCATCTAGCACAGTCACTACGTATACTAAAATGTGCTACCTAACAGTCTTACTTTAGTTAGCTTCCTGCAAGAAATCACTAGTTAAAGAAAAGGACATAATAGTGATGTTTTTAACAACTAAGAATAGTCGACAGAAGTATAATAATATAAGATAATTTAAAAGTCGGNTAATTACCAAATATTTTGGTACAGACATCATCTGTTATCCAGGATTTAGGAATGTTAAATGTTTCTATGTCCCCTTCTCCAATTCTTAACAATAATTTTGAAAATTCGTTATTACTAGAACGGATATTATTTTGTAATCTTAAAATTTTGAAGAAGTTCCATAAAAATGATGATTTAATAGTTTCTTCTATTATTATAGTTCTATTACCGTTTCTTATAACTGGAAGGATTTGTTCGAAATCTCCTCCTAATACTATTAATTTATCACTAAAGCAAAGTCTTGTATTACACAAGTCTCTCAACGTTCTATCAACGATTTCTAAAGCTTTTTTCAGAATTATAGAAGTCTCGTCCCATATTATTAAATCAACATCCCTTAAATTTTTTTTTTCAGTTTTAAATTCTAAAAATACACTTTCAATATTATCTAAGTCTAGAGGTAAACGCAAAGTTCTATGACTGGTCATACCTTTTGGTAGTAATACAGATGCAATTTCAGTCCAAGCCATTGACAAAATATTTTTACCTCTAGAAATAATATAATAAATGAGTGACTTATATAAGTAGGTTTTTCTGGATCAATTAGGACCATCTATGAAATATACTTTTTCATCTTGTTCACAAATAGTTTGAAAAATTTTTTTTTGATCTTCATTTAAATTTGTGGACATTAGATCGAACATTATTTTACTAAAAGATATTTCCTCAATATTGCAATTATTTATATAGTTGCTAATGGTTGGTGTCGTTAAACTAAAAGACTCACATAATTTACTTTCTGATACTAAAATTTGATTAATATGTAGAAGAGCACAATTATTATTATCATTATCAAAGTCTCCCGTAAAATATTTTTTATATTCATTCCATATTTTATCTCCTTGAATGT